ATTCCTCATGCAGAATCACAGAGATTCGGGTGATGACAACTTTATTCAATTTACAAGAGCTAAGAGAAACCTCTGGCAAAATGCAGGTGCTCCTGCACATGTGCTGGAAGCAGGCAGCCCTGCAGATTAAAAAGATGTTTCTCCCAGTCACCTTTATTATCCCCAGTGGCTGGTCCTATGCTGAAGGTTAAATTGAGCTCCCAAGAGAGGTCTCAGAAGCTGTATTTCTCCTCCCCTGGCTTTGGCTAAAAAACCCTGCCACTCTGGATGGGCTGCTCAGTGCGGGTTGGACTGGGACCAGGTGCCAGGGATTTGGGCAAAGCCATGGGTCCTGCCAGCTTCACCTGTCTGTGGCTGACCCTGCAGGCTGGATGCTGAGGGACAGCATCTCCTGGGAACAGTGGGTTTCTCATCCTCTGGGGAAAGAAACCCCCTGGATTTGCATCCCAAGATGCTCTTGGCTATAAAAAAAACCCAAGGCAACGTTATTGAAGGACTTTTCTGACATGTCTGATGAGGCTGGCAGGCAAAAAGGGATGCGAATCAGAAGCAAGTTAATTATAAGCTCTGTTAGGAACACGGAGGGAAAACAAAATCACCTGTAATTGCTAACTGTGACAGAGGAATGTCAGTGTAGAAAGCACGGAGCACTGCAAGGGTTCAAAAATACTGGGAAACCATAAAGCAAGTTAGGGGCCAATGTGTTTGGAGAAGAAGCACCATCCCTTTCAGACCCTCCCTAGTCATGTCTGGGTCAGGTGTGGGTTGGGGAAGGAGCTGGCCAAGCCCAGGCAAGGTGATGTCAGGGCTGGGACCTCCCTACTCCATCCCATAGATTTCTCCATGTAATTGCTCTTGAATTTTGCATTATTTGTGATATTGCCCAGGTTGAAGAGAAAGAAGGAAAAGAACCACTTCAGCTGAAGCTTGATCTTTAGTTTTATTACCCCAGACCATATGTTTTTCCCCATCTTTTCTTGCCTTGCTGCCTCAAGACCAGCTCTAGGAAGTAGCTTGCACAGCCCTTGTTCAGCTTTGAAACTCCTTCTCACAGGATGCCATCGCCAGACAAATTCATGGAGGAAAAAGGCTTCTAGGGACAAGATTCAAAAAAATCCTCTGCCACTAACTGCTGAAGGATATATAGCATCACTTCATGCTCTCTCTTCTCCTGTACCTGCCCTGGGAAAATAGGAATATAAAGCCTGGGGGGATTTTTGTGGGGCAGCAGGGTTTGTCAGGTTCCATGGCTGGGGCTGCAGCTGGGATGACAAATTCATCTTTTCTCTGGTTTAGAATTACCCTACACTTAGAATCAAGAAGCGGATGGTTGAACAGGGGATTTTGAAGACATCAATTGTAGTGGCTGACCTCCGTGGCTGTCAGCAGCTGGCAGAGAAGAAGTTAAGGGCCTGTTTACACCCAGTCAATGTGTATTTCAACGGAGGTGCAGAGATAAAAGTAATAAAGTGCCTTCTATTTAGGTTGGTGGATAAATGGAGTTTCAAACACATTCCCCTGCTGAAAGTGCTTACGGGCTCCGGCTGGAGAGTTCGGATGAGTTATGTGGAGGAGGATGCTCACTGTGTTTCCTTGACTGCCAGCTCCTCCGTCTGCTGATGGATGCCAAAATACTGTGTGGGATTTGCTCAGATCCCGGTGTGAGGGTACCCTGTGCCAGCCAGGGGAAAGTTCCCCATGCCTCAGTTTCCCTTCCAGCAGCCCAGGGCAGGAAGGTAAATGCAGAGCCACCCACCCAGGCACGGGGGTGAAGGGATGGAGCAGGAGACATCCCAGCTCCCCTGTAGTCCATCCCAAAGGGCGACTGAGACCTGGCACACTCATAGCATGCAAGGCCTCTTGACTGCCTCCCAGTGATCAGAGTGACGTGGAGAACAGTCATTTTGACTATTTCCTTTTAATCTTGATTTTTTTTTTTTTAATCTTGGTGAAAGGAGGTGATTCGTCTACAGCAACAGTACAAGCAGGTTTCCTTCTCCGATGAGGCTGTAGCATCTCTAAGTTTGGCTGATTCTGTTGGAAAATTAATAGCAACAAACTGTCTCTGGCAAGGAGGCATGGTTGTCCTTGTCCCCTGTCACCAGCTTAGCTCGAGGGCCTTAGTCCCATCTACTTGTCTCCATAGCACAGGGGTTGAAGAGATGGGGGATGTTGACCTTGCTCCTGTGGCTTGGTGGTCCTTTGTGTGGTGAGAACTGGAGAAAAGGGTGGCATTTCTGTCATAAATTGCTTGTGGAAAAAGTCTGCCATTCCCCAAAACAACCTGTTTTGGGTCAAAGATTCAAGTTCAATTAAATTCCCCTTTTTCTTCCCCACGTTTTCCCTCATCTAGCTGACTTGAAAAATCAAGTCAGTCCTGGAAAATCCATATTAAAATGGAGGCAGAGAAATCCTGGGAATGAGTTTTTGGGTCAGTTTGACATGGATGGAGCCAGAGGAGCCATGCCCCATTAATAAGATGGCACCCAATCACTCAAATGACTGGTTATTCCAAATTTTCTAAAAATAATAGTAATACATAACTAATGTTTAAGTAATTAAGTTGCTACATAATTCAGTCACTTGGGAATGAAATAAATTCGCCATATTGATAATTATTTCTGCAAAGGGAAAGCAGAATGGACAGGTTGAGGGTTTAACTTGAAATTTGGGGTTTGAACCCAGCATGGAGGTACTGATGCTGTGCTGGGGGCTTGCCCCAGGCCAGCGCTGCCTCAGTTTCCCCAGCACCATGGCTTCACCTTGCCCTCTTTTTGGGAGCCACCCTGAGATGCCCCCTGCTCCGGTGCTGGATACAGGCACCCACATCCACCCCCATGGGATTCTTACAGAAAGAAGGAAGAAAAAAATGGTTCAGGGCATCCAGCCCCTCTGCCCCCTTCTCCCACCCCACCTTGGGAAGGGGTTTCCGTGGAGCTGGGGTGGGAGAAGCCACTGCAGGGGTGGCTGTCCCCATCGCTGTCACCCCGTGGCACCGCAAGCGTGGGCTGTTGGCACCATCTAGTGGGGGTGGGACCCCCCAGTACAGCGGGACACAGCCCCTCGTGTCACATCTTGGTGGCTCAGGGTCCTGCTTTGAGACTGATCCCCTCTGGCCACCCCCTTCCTGCGTCCTCTCTGGGGATGCTGAACCCGCGTGGGGACAGTGGGGATGGGGGGGTGGGGGTGGGACCCCTCGTGTCCTTACCTCTCCCCGTTAAGGTTTATGGGCTGGCAGCCTGTCCCCTCGGCCACCACATCCCGGTGGCATCTCATGGCCTGGGGAGTGGGACTGTGTGCGGAGCCACGCAGGACCCCCACCCTTGAACCAAAACTATAGGGGACTCCCCCTCATCATCTCTCCCTGCCCCACACAGGGGTGGGGGTAACCCTGTCCCCCCCTACATCGCAGCAAGCCCTATCCCTCCCCAAAATCCTGGCTGTGTGCAGGGCTGGGGTGATGCGGAGGGGAGGGACCTGCAGCCAGCTCCCCGTGTCCCCGTCCCCACTCATGACAGGCAGCCGTGGGGCCGTGGGGATGTGGGAGGAGGAGGTTAGGCCAGGCTTTCCTTCCTGGCCAGCGCCGCGCTGCCTATTACATCAACTCTGGTATTTCCAGTCCCTGCGGGGAGAAGGGAGGAGCGCGGGCAGGAGCAGGGGGAGCAAAGAAAAGCAAAGAAATATTGGGGGATGCAGAGAATTGGGGGGTCCCACGGTGGGGATTCAGGTCCTCCGGTAAGGCCCGGTGCTGGGATCCCCTGTGGTCAGGCTGGCCTTGGCCCCCAGCCTTCATCCTGGCTCCATCCCCAGCTTTGGGGCTGGGAACGAAAGCGGCGGGAGGGGGGGGAAAAAGGGGAAAAGGAAAAATCTACACGTGGAAAACACACGTCCCTATGGCCAGGACTTAAAGCAACAGGAAAGTGCTGAGTGGCACAAGGGCCGCTCCAGCAACTGGGGGGTGGCAGGGGTTGGGGTGTCCGCTCCAGCTTTTGGGGTGCTGCCTCAGTTTCCTCAGGGTGGAAAATGGAAGGAAAGCTGCTGGGATGCTTTTTTCCAGCCTCATTTCTGCCCTGAAATAACTCCCCAAGGATGCCAGGATGGGGTTGTGGGGCTGTAAAAAGGCAGGTGGGGGGTTCGGGGGGACCCCAAGGAGAATGAAGTGGCGAGGCCCCGGGGCTCTGGTTGCACAGGCCCTTCATTTGGTGATGTGGAGGAGGCAACAGCCCCAGACTGGTGATGGATTTGGGGTTTGCATGGGCCAGATCCAGCAGGCAGCAGGGTTGGGGACACCCTCAGATTCACTCCTCAGGTCTCCCCTTTTTATTTAATATTTCCACACCTAAGTTACCAATCAGTCTCTGGTTTTATTTCTTCCTGGAGCTTGTTAAAAATATATTGTGCAGTATCTGTCCTCACTGGGGATACAATATCAAGGGAAAAAAACCCAAGTTGTCACAAAGAGACAAATTCTGGGAGAAAGCTCCAATTTTTTGGCACAGTTTCCCCTTTGAAACATTATCAAAAGCTTTCCTTGAAGGAGCGAAGGTGCTTGTCCAGGCCCTCACCCTGGTATCAGGTCTCCAAGTGGGATGGTCACTGGTGTGAATTTGGGTTCCTTTGTGGGAAAATTGGGTCCTTCTGAGCAGTGGCAAGGGGCAGGATTGCATCGTGTTGCCCCATCAAGCCGACCCCTATTTTGAGGTATTGTATAACACTAAAACCCATGGAATTCAGCCCAAATATTGAAGGCACGTGTCATGCCAGGGTTTTAAAAGAGTGTAAAAAAGCAGAAATTTCAGGTTTTCATCCCGAGTGGATGCCTTTTGCTTGCAGTCAGCGCTTTGCAGCCTTTGCCCCAGCTCCTGGGGGGCAGGATCCCTGCCGGAGGCAGTTCCTAGGACCAAAACCCCGCGGAATTTGCCCCAAATTTTGAAGGTATGAAACGTGCCAGGGTTTTAAAACAGGGTCCGGAAGCCTACATCTCAGGGTTTTTATCCCGAATGGAACTTTGCGTGCGGCCAGCGCCCTGCAGCCCTTCCTCGCGGCTCATCCAGGGCAGGATCCGTGCCGGAGGCGGGTCCTAGGACCCGGCGGCGCCGCTCCCCCCCCCCCGCTTCCCTCCCC